CTATCTATCTACCCCACCTCCCCAAATCGTCGGTGAACGAAACTGTCCCAGCCTCAGCCACTATACGACAAGTACGCGGTCCTTACAACTGACAATAATGATGATTTTGATAGTGATGATCTGCCTTCACCCAACAGACTAGCTCCGATACTCTTGAGGGCAGTTTTTGGCCCTCTCAACGCACCATTACTGCCAGGGATATGTGTGTAGAATTAGCCATTCCGTGGCTCATTTGGATTGTGATCTTTGACTGGAATGAGGATGCACATCATCATCATCATCAGAGACGGTAACATCAGTGTTACACTGATGCTTCACTGCCATACAAGCACAAAGTTTACGTGCCTATATTTCAAGCTTTAGAATGAAAAGAAGAGAGTAGGTGAGATAGGGGATTTGGTGATGGCCCATCACAAGCACTTCAAGGTGTCTACATCTCCAAGAGCTCAGTCAGAAAACCTGGAAAGAAACTAATTACGCGAACGCCACTGACACTGATCAGCCGCCATTTCCCGCAATTTCTCCAGCCAAACGCAGAAAGGGTCACGGGTCTATATCCTGGAAGATGCACTACACCAACAACACTCAAACTCTTTCTGATATACGCTGTTCACCTCGTGGTTTCCAGCATTCTGAAGGAGGCACAGAGAACAGAGAATGCCTGCTGCACTTGTGTGCTAATCACAAACTTTCCGTGCAATGCGAAGTTTTGGAACAACCAAAACCTGTCTCCTGTATGTGAGCCAACCTACAACACAGATGGACCATCAGCCATAGATGGCGTAGGTGACTGTCGCTCGTTGCGGAATTCTTATGTGGATTCTGATCACACATCTGTTACTGCTTTTCCTTGCGCTTTTGGAGGATATGTACAAACTGCCTGACTATTGAGAACCTCTCGGACTCTTGTGTGTACCAAACTAGCAACACCACCTACAAAAGTCTCCAGATAGTCCATCTTTTAATGTCGGCCCATACTGTGAGATACTATCCGAAGCCCTGCAGAATACTGGCGCTTTGCCTGTAGAACGGTACAATCAACTAGATCTAACCAACGGATCCTGGATGAAACTGTGAACTTGCTTCAAGCTCGGGAATGCATTCCTACTCGTCGTATAACAAAACTGGACGGATTGTTAGGCGTCACGTGAAGAGGTATCTGAACGAATCAACAGGTCTTCTCTTTTAGTTGTCTGGTGGTGCTGCGTTGAAAATCTGCCACAATTTAATTTTCTAATTTATTTTCCTGGCGTGTTGCGACGGTTTGGAATCACTATGGTGAATGACAATGGTCTGTTAGATCTCTTGCACCTTTGAGTGGGAACTTTTTGTATCATCCAGTGGTATCATCAACTGTTGTCAGTAGTTTCAAATCCATTTTGTTTTGCAAGTTGGGCGGATTACCATTTTTGGTAAGTGGGAGTATAGCCCGTTCAGGCGAATGAGAAGGCTTGTTGCGTACGGCGGTTACCCGATGTGTCGGCCCGCATATGCTACGGCGATCTTCATTTTACAACTTTACTAATCATTTAATTTCGAGCCAGGGCGACTGAAACTTTTTTGGTCCCCGTACGCTAACCTGACTAAAGATTTAACCGATCAGACCATACGTTTGAATAAAAAATGAAATAATCGTTTAACTGTGACACTGTTTTAGTGCACAGCTGTCGTGAAACTGGGGGGGGGGGGGGCTGGGATACTTCCGGGTCTCCCGGGCTTAGACAGGTGCATTCGGAAGGTGAAACTTGAATTCGAGCCATGGGCCTTTCGGTCATTAGCATCGTACCTCAACTACTGAGTTATATTGAGCTCATTCACTCTAGTGATGGACAATAGTGGGAAGCACGAGTGCTTCAATTCCATGCGGCAATGAACGGTAGCATGAGAAACTACCGCTTCTGAAAATAGCTCGTGTTGAACCACTACAGGTGGTATCGAAAACGTTTCTCCTGTTATAATAATAATAATCGTTCAGCTGTAACACCCTTTCGGTGCCTAGCTGCCATGCCACACGAAGGAGGCATGAGTGCTGGGATACTGCCAGGTCACCCAAGCCAAGACAGGGGAAGTCGAGGGGCAGAGGTCGGGTTCGAACCACAGTCCTTCCGGTCAGTAGATTCGCGCTCTAACCACTTGGTCCATCTCGCTCCTGACACTTTTAACATACAGTACTGGAATTGAGGGTGGTTACCGAACAAAACAAGCCTCCTAGCATGAACGAATATCTTAGAACGCCAGCGAAACCTTTTGCACCCTACTAAAATGTCCCCAAGACAGCTGGAGCTAGTAAGACTGTTGAAGAAGTTCTCCTAGCTGCCTTTTCCTGGCGCAAGTGTCAAGGTGTTTTTCTCACTAAAATGTTCGGAGGGAAGATGAAGACCCACTGATTGTCCTTTCAGGAAATTCGGTTATACCGCGATTTGAAACAAACAGCAGTGAGCGTTTGTGGATAGTTCTGGTCAGTTGGGCGAATGGGATCAGCTCCACTCTGGTTGGCAGATTTGTTCGGTGGCTATTCGCCTTACTCCCATTACCTTTAAGGTTGCATTTGAGCCTATAACACTGCAGTCGTTAAAGCTGTGAAAAGTTTCTATATCACTCCATGCGTATCTGTGTTGCACGGGGGTTCCGTTAACACTTCCATTCTTGCTACGGTGTATTCGTTTGGCCTCGTGCCTTGTTAGCCCAGTGGCCTGAACGATCAAGCCGGCCCACGTGATTCGGGGATCTACTACGCATCACATGGTGTGATGTAATGGAAGTCGGGCGTCGAACCACGACACCTTGGAATTTTCACGACCACGAGAGTTCAACGCGTCGAACGATCCTATTGACTCCACCGCGGTGGTCTCGGTGTTACTCTGGCCTTTACATAGTGACATTTGCTCTCGGCTATCCTATCTACACAACTCTTATAGTTTGAGGGTGTCAGGGAGGAGATACCATCAAAAGGAAGAAGACCTTCGCTGCGGAGCTGTTTATTAGGAAATGCCAACTGACCGGTTACGAACCATAGGACAGGGAAGCAAAACTCCAATTTGCATCTTATTTACAAAAAACTGGACATCCGTCTTCTCCTGAACGCGTCTTCTTGAACGTTCCTGGAGATTCATTGACTACAATCATTCCTCGCTCAAGTCCAAGCAAACGTTACAAAGCGACTCCACAAATTCCGCAACAGATCTCCCCTGTTCAATGGACGCAAAGCGAAATTCCACGAACGACACATGCTACTCGCGTGCCTCCCCATCAGTAGTATCACCGTTACACCATTATCCAACCCTGTTTTTAGTATTTCCAAGATGATATCGAGGGAACCTGCTGTGGTGGCAAATTCGGACGGAGCAAAGTCCACGTCAAGATGCTGTCAATGCGGCGAATGGCGATTGTGCGATTGTGTCCCTACAAAACTCACAAGTGTTCAGTGTGCAATCGCCGTGGGCGCGAGGAAAGCCAGTGCCGGACGCGAAAAGCTAGTCGAAGATGCAGCCAAACCTGGAGGTCACGAACCAGAGGGAGCCAGTTAGAACCCCGGTTGGGCGCAAAACTTACAACATATGATAACCAGGTCGATGGTCGTTGCAAATATGTTACAATCAGAGCAAAGAGAAGCACGATTCGATTGCAACTCGATGTGGCTTCCGATATTACGATTGTTTCCCGGCACACCTAGAGAAAGACCGGATCACCGAAATTCAGACCAACAATGAACACCACCACCAGAAATGCTTCAGGTGGTAAGCTTCAATTACTTGGTGAACTCGATTGTGAGATGGAGATAGCGAGCCACCGTGATTGTGGTATTATCTGTCTTGCTGCTTGTAGGCTTAATCTCCTGGGTATAGACTGGGTCGGTCGATTGCATCTTTCAACACTGCCGATCATAAACATATTTCATCAACGCCGACAGGAAGGAAACCAACATTCCGGCCTGGAAACCGAGTGCTTATGAGGGACTCTCGTTCCGGGCACCGAATATGGACTGTTGAATGTCATCCTCAAAAGAATCGGTCTGGTGATCTATAGCATTCAAGTGGGGTCATCGATATGGAAACGACATGTCGACACAGTTCGATTTTCGCGGTGGCCAGTTACTCTGACCGTAGTGACCCTGTGTGCTCACAATAAACAATCGAAACGAATGCTCAATCGAACTCCTTGCCAAGTCATTCTGTCGCTAGTAGCCGACTGAAATGCGATACAAGTGCTTCCGATGGTGCCATTCGGTATATTCTTGGATATTTTGGCGGTTGTGAGAGTGGTAACGAACAGCCTGATCATCGTACCTAACTCGCTTCTAGCACCCGAAAAATCATTACCCTCACGGTACACAAGCGGTGAGATGGATCAACGGTTAGAGTGCGGAATTTACTGACCGGAACGCCTGTGGTTCGAACCCGACCTCTGCATCTCGACTTCTCTTGTCTTGGGATGGGCAACCTGCCAGTATCTCAGCCCTTCTGCTTCCTTCGTGTGGCATGTCAGCTAGGCACCCAAAGGGCGCTACAGTTGAACGGTTTCAGATCAAATTATCCAGTATATGTCACCTGTTGAATCTAAAGTCATCGCGGAGATGTCAGTTCTTCAGCGCATACCAGGGTGCGCAAGCCCGGTTGATTTCTATTACTGTAGGAGATGATTCAAAACACCCTCAAATATTCCGGAACACTAGCCCTGCCAAAGTTTTCGGCGAAGAAAGAAAAGAACTGACAGCGTTGGAAGGACGTTTATACAGTCCTTCTAGGGACGCTCAAGAACGTACGTTACTAGGGTTTTTCGCGTATACAAGGTTACCATTCGGCAAAACTTATGAGGTTTTGTCCCTGGCAGTTGATGATCTTTTACTCTGGTGTAGGCCAATACCGAGCGTCTGGTGTATTTATGGTGCACCTAATGGCGATGGTAAATGACGCTATCAGAATTATTTGTGGGCTTGGTCGCCCAGAGCTTACAGGGACTAATAAATGGGTTGCTGTTGCCGTCGTCCTGTGTAAGATGGTGGTAATGCATAAGAGGATAGCCGATGTGTAAACCGTTATGGCCGATATTGATCATCCGGAACCACATACCATCTACGGGTTCCGTATTCGAAATCGAAGTTAGTCAACGATATGTACCGACTCTGCACTGCTTTATCAGTCATGGGTGACATGAATCCACCAAAGTTTTGATGCTGACTCGTTTTCTCGCCGGGGTAAGGTAGCTACAATACGGTATATAAACAGCTGTTTTGGTTTAAGACTGATAATAAAGTTAATGCAATTACGTCTAAAAAGAGTGCAAGGTAAGTAGGCTATGGGTCTGGCTCTAAGCAGCCACAACAAACTTTTAGGGTGTAAGTTTTCTCACACTCTGACACTGGGACACGTCAACATTGAGTTTGAGTTTTTCTGTTCGCTATTCCTAGTCGATACGGGCTACTAATCATTGGAGGCAGTTCCACCGGCACTTAGAAAACAAGTCCAATGTATGTTTAAGTTCCTCTAATATTGAATTTGAATTTTCGAATTTGATGTTGCAACGAATCAACATATTCGGCCAGGCTTTGTAAGTTTCAGTCTATCCAAGCCTAGTGACTTATTGCTAATTAGACTGACGGTGTGAAAGACCTCTTCATTCTTACTGGGCCCAGCTGGACTACAACTGGATGATAATATTGCGCCGCCGGTCGCTTCGTGCTTTGAAACTGATATCATTTGTATTCAGTACTGCTGGGCCTTTTTCCATAATCACAGCACAGAGAATGTAGCCTCCCTCTTTTGGTAATTTTGGATCCGCTGACTCATTAAACCCACTTTCGGTTCGTAGGAACTCGGCGGGTTGGCGAAGATGAAGAAAGTCATGCATCTGGCGATTTATTGGACGCGTTTTCGGTACGGTTCGGTGCTTAGCTTGAGGGACATCAAGATGTTCTTGGAGCCGTAAAACCTACTCACGTTAAGTGTAATTAGTCGGTTAGGTATACGATAAGCTGAGTCTCTTTCTAAAACCTCTAGGCTCAGAGAATATTCAGATAATCGTTTTTCTCATTACCTTGAATAAGCGTGAAGTCAATGGTGATATCTGTAGTTTTCGGAAGCAGGGAAACCCTACAATGTTTCTACCCGACGTATCACGTTATACAGGGGAACCATGTTATCATCGTTTTGGATCGCCACTTTCTTTCGGTCATTTTGATGAGGTTGTGTCCTATTACAGACCTTGGAGCCGGCATCTGATTAGCAACAATCCTCACATACCCAACGCATGTGGTGACCAACTAGAACAGTAGCTGTCAGCTAAATCAGCCTTCCCGTTTGGTCACTCGTGATCTGGACTTGCGAAGCCTAGCTCACTCGGACGGATATTCTTTTTTTTGTGCCCATGGTTCGCTCAGCTCACTTGGTGTTGCAACAATAATAGTAACAAAGTATTTGAACGCGGTCCGTCAAAAGCCGCTAACAGGCTTCTTCCACATGGAGCAGCCCAGCGTACGGCTGTTTTGATAAATAAATAACAAGCAACCATTGGCGTTTAGCCTTGAAACAAGTCCTGGGAAACCCGGCTCTTGTATTCTCAACCAGTTCTGTTCTACTCCTATGTGGTCACAGTTGACTCGTAATACATGGCAACTTCTATTGTCTCCTCAATTGACTAGATTATTGCGCCATTTTTTTTAAAATTTCAGCTGGAAACTAGACCGAGCCGTCACGGTTAATAACCAACTATGGATATGAACGAGAGAACACCGCTTACACAACGCGGGTCTACCGCTTTCGATATTGATGTAGATGATTTGCGCCATCTCATGGCCCATCGGAAGGAGGATGTCGTGAAGCTTCTACATGATCGATTTGGCGGTCTCAGTGGTCTCTGTAGAAGCCTGAAAACATCTCCGACCGATGGTAGGTCATCACCTGTACACTATGTTAATTTACTCTATCTTTTATCCGTGCATTATCCAAAACCCAGTTTTCATGTGGATAGGAAAGAAACTTATTTTTGGTGATCCCATCAAGTTACAGTCAACATTCCGACTACTGCATTTCCGAGAGTTATCCACCAATATGTGTCGGTAGGTAGGAACTTTTCCGAGGTGGATCTAACCTTAGGACCAAAAGGTTAATTGCTGTGGTATTTGTCTGTCGCGTACAAGCACAACTAACAAGTGCGAGGCGGAATGTGACAACACTCAGCACCTTCTCTCTGAATTACATGCAAAACGCACGTAGAACATGATTTATCCGTGTACTTTTTCAGCCTTTAAGATTTGTCACTCCTCATTTGGATGGCGTTTCGTTTTCGGCGGATTTTCGGCACTGCTCTTAATGGTTTCCCCTGTAACGTAAGGCGTGCTAGGTCCTTAACCCTTTTTATTTCCTGATCCTTATTCGTTCTCTCCTTTTCGCTTTAGGGTTTTTGGCGGCAGTGTTCACCTACCCCTGTAGATGATACTTGTAATCTCCAGAGTTTAACTTATCCCCACTACTACTGGTGTCATGAGATAAGTTCGTGCAAGTCAAAGTTCGGTCTGTGGGTGTCATTTCGCCGAAGAGTTGTCCAAGCAAATAGCGCACATTATAACTGGCAACAGTGTAGTTCTCGGTCGTTACTTGGACCAGTCTTCTTTCCAAGTTGTTAGTTTTTTTCCTGAATCCTAAGGAATCATTCACGTAATTTGGTTCTACCGGGAGCGAAATCAATTTCGAACGCCTAGTGCACTCACTCTAATATGACATCTATACAACAGCAAAGTATTTCGTTTACATCAAGAATATGAGAGTGGATTATTACTCGTGGAAGCAGCTGCGATTGAGCAGATACTTGGCTTCTTGGTCGGTTGAATTGGACAACGTGGCTTTTAGTGTTGGTTGTTTTTGTGGCCATTTATTAGGTTAACCAGTCGCTCTATTCACCGCATCCCTTGCTACAAACCATGCGCTTTCGGTTAGGTTTCACGTAGGCCCCGAGCACAAAAAATACGACAAGTACGGCCGGCCTCACGTTGACCGAAGTACCAAACAATTCCACCGAGGTTTAGGCCTCTGGCGTGGTCTTAACTTCAATCAAGTACAGCAATTGTTGATGACTGATATGGCATGAAGCCTTATTTTTTAATCCCGTATGGCCCACTTTCGTTTTGTGTAAATCCTGTTTCCATTTCTTACCCACAGGTCTCACGGAAGACGACTTCACCAAGCGGAAGGAAAAATATAATGTGAACGTGATCGCGAAGCAACGACCAAAAACCTTTTGCGAGCTGGTTGGTGCTGCTCTGCAAGATTTAACCCTGATCGTTTTGATTGTGGCTGCTGTGATTTCCCTCGCCTTATCCCTGTACCTCAAATGTAAGTGGAGCTATTGTTCTGATATGAAATTATCGTGGCTTGCCAGTAACCGCATTCGGACGCTGTTCTTGGCACTGGGTTCGTTGTTAACAAAACAAGTCTTTATATGAGATATCAGAACATACAGATAGGGTGATTTTTTTTGCGAACAGAACAGCAGGCGCATTCTAAGTAACCTCCAATCTATACTGCTTTGCTCAATTTACTGCTTACTTCATGCATGACATAACTTACCAGTAGAACTTCACGACACCAGATGTAACATTGGTTAGGATTGAAACAGGAATGCCGTGGTCATATGTTGAACGTACAATTGATTCTATGGCTCAGTTTGGCCGCAACTCGCTTATCTGAGGTCAGTGAAAGTAAATTCTGTCACGCCATCAAAATTCAAGACGATCAAGTAACGTGAAAACAAGAAGTACGAAAAAAAGACAGAAAGGTCACAGAGGAGTTGGAACCATTTTCATTTCGCATAACCAGTCCGTCTAGTGTCATTCCAACTAGCACCAACTCGATTTTTGCTGCAACTATTCTCAAATAAACCAGTCATGTTTCATGTTGTTTTTACATACTAATTCACGGACTTCCACATCACGGCACATGCTATTTCTGGCCACAGTTGAGAATATTTTCCCTGTGGGACGAATTGTCATTACCCGGTAAAGGCACTTGGAAAGAAACCAAGTATTGCCCTTTCGAGCCAGAGATCGAAGCGAACTCTCACTTGCTTGCTTCTTTCTTGGGTTTGTCCGAGAAGTCTGACTGCTACAAATTTTGCGAGTATCTCCTGTTCAGAAGCAGCCTGGTCGTACGACTTATGGCTGCGAACGATGTGAAGTCAAATAGTCACCAGGCACAAAAGTGAGAGACGCCCAACATGATTTGTTGTTTACTTTGCTTTGCCTTTTTTTGCTGAACACAGGTCCCCTTTTCATGCCTTGGGCCCGTTTAGTCAAGTAATTTTCTCTCTTTTCTCCACTTTTTAGACGGTCAAGCCACCACCTTTGACGAATCTGAAGGTCAGGCTGGTTGGATTGAAGGTGTGGCCATCCTAATTGCCGTGGTCGTGGTTGTCCTGGTGGTTGCTTTGAATGACTATCAGAAAGAGAAACAGTTTCGTGGTCTTCAAAGCAAAATTGAATCTGAGCATACCTTCTTTGTCATTCGAAAGGGTGAAACCAAACAGATCCCTGTGCAGGAGATCCTTGTGGGTGATGTGTGCCAGGTGAAATATGGTGAGTTGGAGGAACATTGGATTTCAGTGCTTTCTTACACGGGAATTTGATAAGCCTATAACAACTGGCCGAAGTTAATTTTCATTCAGTTATATAATTTTATGTCCGAGAGAACAATGCCTAGTGGTTCGCATTTCATGGGGGAACCGCCTTCTGTCGGTATTCTGTATTTTATCTGAATGACCCATGAAACTGAATTGTTTGATGGGCGATTTGACGTGAGGGAGGTGAAAAAAATGCGAACCACAGCTCTTCAAGCAATACAGTGAAAACCAGACATCGTGTCTTGCTTGATCGTGATGTTTGACGGTGTGGTCTGCACTCAGCGGGGGCGAGATGGTCCAAGTGGTTAGATCGCGAATTTACTCACCGGAAGGTCTGTAGTTCGAACCCAACCTCTGTCTCTCGACTTCCCATGTCTAGGCTCGGGCAACCTGGTTGTATCCCAGCCCTCGTTCTTCCTTCGGGTAGCATGGCAGGAAGGCACCTGAAGGGTGTTACAGCTGAGAGTTATTCTTTCTCGGCACTCAGCAGAGACCCTTACCGGCCCATTGTGACTCAGCCGTCACGAACACTCGGGTTAGTATTATTTCGGTAGGGCCCTGACAACATCTTTAGCCTGGCTGTATGAGTTTACTTGCGAAGTATAACTGCGTTCTCATGGTACCAACTTCCTCGTACTTCATACTCGTCCCATTTGATGAGCCCAACGATGACCCTCAGGATTCCCACGATTTGTTCATCGTAGTCACGTCTCACTCTTCACTGTCACGAGCATTTCTCCCTTCTGGCTGACATGTAATTTTTATGCCCAGTTCATTTTTTCGTAATTCATCTCCTCAGGTTATGTTTTGATTCGATCCCAAATGAAAGATCGTTTAAGTGGAGAAACACGTTCGGTCACTTTGTTCATTTAGATTGACGACAAATTCCACTGGTGGTTGCTTGCATTCCGTTAAGCTAACCGCTCTGCATCAGGTACTAAAAATGTAGATGATTTGGAATGCCGTTGACAGCATCGTAAAATCAGGTGTACCCATCCGACGGAACGTATCTGCTTTCGCTGCCTCTAGTTTTGCGGCATTTTGTGTCGATTTCAATGCACCCAATCGGTGCTGCCCCTGATGAGCGTTTTTCCTATTGTGGTTTTACGGTCGAAACTTGTAGTGGTATGCTCATCTCAAACGACGGATCAATCAACTTTGATATCGAGAAGGTGAGATGCAGTCGTTGTTTGAAAGTCTGTATCCAACAGACCCAGCATTGTCTGATTAGGTATTGTACAATTTAAAGTTCATTTGGATTCGGGCCACTTGGTTTTTCGCTGACTCTCCACACTGTCTGTTTGATTCAGCCTCAATTGTACCAGATACGCATAAAACACCGTCTTTTTTATACACTGAGAACTGTTTAAAACACCATATGGCTGGACTGAGCGAAAGCCTTAATTTTTGGCTCGGTTGTACACAAGGTAAAACGAACCATTTGATAATACGGAAATCACACTATTAGCGAAATGGCATAGACCATCTGTGGGGGGTAGTGATAGGTCATGATTCAGATTCTGGCAGACCAGGGGTTCTTCTTGGAATGCAACAATGGTATTAGGACCTTCCGGGAGTTCACACACTGTATAATTCATGGAAATTTCATGCGTTTCTGTGCGTGCACAACAATCGTGTGCACGACCTGGATCTCTTATGCACACCATCCATTGATTGCATTTTTCCATGTGTTCATTTTGACACATTACCTGTTGCAGATAACAAAAGGTGTACCTCTGCTTGAAACGGTGGCACTCTTGTTTATCTACACTGTCCGAGTAACCGTAAATCTTTACGCGTCACCGTTTGCACGAATGGTTGTTCGTTGCTGACCACTGGTCCCGTTCCACTATTCTGTGTCGAGAATCGATCTGCACATCATGTGCCTCTGTAATGGCCATAGTTGTACTGCCGTACATTGCTGCTCTGTACAACTTGATTTCCCACATTTGCCACACGGTTTCCATTGATGAAAAGTGATAGTGACTAGGTCGTTTGCTTACGCACTCAAGATTTTCCCCAGTGAAATGAATGGGCACACACATATCCCAACAATTTCCCCAGAACTTTTACCGCGAATAAATGCGTATGGTTCAGTTTTCAGTCGAACCTCTTATCTGATTTGATAGTGGATATATTGTTTTCTAATTTGATTTTCTTCCGCACTAGGTGATTTATTGCCGGCCGATGGCATAATTATCCAATGTAATGATCTCAAAGTAGACGAAAGTTCTTTGACCGGCGAATCGGATCAAGTGCAGAAGAGCGAAACGAAAGACCCAGTTCTTTTGTCTGGTATGTTTCCTTCCACTCGTATTTCCTCTTCGTTTCAACATATGAAAATTCTCACCCAGATGGTTGTTGTTACTACCGTTGTTGTTATTGACATTGTTCAGATCCGGTTTCTGGAGTAGTGTCTTTTTTCCGACAGAGTATTTGCAACAGATGCGGTTTGACACTGTGTTCCTGTTTTCATCCACTCGGCCATCTACCATCTGTACAGGATAGAGAACAACAACCGCACTACTGTCATTCATAAGCTGTCAATTGTCGATTGATTGGTACATGCTAGTTTGGCTGTAATTTGACAAAGAATGTATGAGTCACTGAACCGACTTGTTATGATTTGTTGGTTCAGTGTTGTGTTTTCGCGAAGGCACAAGCAATGAAGTTGCCTCCTACGGAAATACCGGAGTTTAGGTTACTTGTGACGAACAATCAGACTACGTTCGATGGTCTTTCTGACACCAGAACGTTGAGGAAACGACTAATCCTAGAGTTAACTAATTTTTCGTGAGTTTATATGGGATTTAAAAGTCAGAGAAACCGCGGTATGTGTAGCGTAGCCTATCACTGTTTTGCGCGACGGCATAAAGCCTTACTCGTAGAAGTGTTTGCGTGCTTTGGCCGGCTTTTTCAGTGAAGGTCTGTCATACATAACCTTGCAAGAAAACGCGTACCGTCACATAACGATTTTTGCTGTGTAGCAAAGCGAGTCTCGTACTGTTCAGTCGATCTTTCGAACCCAGTTTGCACGGTCTTTGTTCATCGGGTCACCAAATTGTATTTTACACTTTGGGATCGTACCGGATTGAGATACGGTGTAAAACAGTACTTCGCCAGCCGAATTTTCAGTTACGAAAGCCATACCCAATTCAGTGATCAGCTGTATGAATTGTGTTCAATTTTATAGACCTCTTGAGTAGATCCGCCTTGAGTGCTCACATTTAATGTCCGTTATCTCGAACATGAATTTTTCCAGGTCTTCCGCTACCGTATTATTGTCTTTCATGATCCTTCGCTTGTTGGTATCCTTGCCGGCCTGACGATGCTTTCACAGCTGTGCGAAGCGTTCGCGTATCGATTCCTGTGCTTCCGACATGTTAGTGGTTCATTGTGCACACTTTCACGTAACGTCATTACCGTGTAGGTTGGTGGCACACGCCGGCTGCTAATCTGCAGGATGGGTTATTTCAACAACAACAAAGAGCCGTGCATTACGATTGAATGGGTTGGTCGGATTCAACAGAAACGTATGTCAACTACACGTTGCACTTACGTTTTATGGAAGCGTACTCCAGTGACCCCCCCTCTACAAGATCAGGTACCACAAGCATGGATTTTAGGTGTGACTCGTGGTCCAAACAGCTGTTAACCGATTAACACAATCACTTGTTCACTCACTATGAGTTTTCGTCTGATTGGTCACCAATCCTATTGCATGACCTGATAAATTGTCGAACCGTGGGCTTGGAATTCCGCCGCATGTTAAAGATAGTTACCTGGTCCCCCATCAGATTCGATGACGAATCATACAAACTTTGGCTATTCACCTGTAGTCAGCTGATCGTTTAGATTAATCAACGTCTGATTAAACCTATGATCATACCCAATTGTTTCACGTAAAATCCACTTCACCAGCTACACGAACTGGTCGGTGGGGGTGGGGTCCGGAATTGTTGATCAAAGGGGATTACTTGTCCGATCCCCCCGCACCTACCTGACAAGGTCTAGCTTCTTCGAATTTTCTCCAACCTCTAAGCTACTATATCAAAACCGAAATAAAATTTCAAGCTTCAATACGCTCACTGCATAAACTGTAGCAGATCGTGCACTATGTCTGTGCGCAACTGATCAAACACTTGTCATAGCACTCCAGTTATTGGCATCCAATAGACTGACCCGAACAGCTGTAACATTTTAAAAGCAGTCGCCCTTTTTGGAATGTTCATTAGCAGGAGAAGCACACTACTCGCTGAGTTCACCAGTCGTGTGACAATCATTGCTATGGTTTAGTGTCCAGATTTACCCTGTGTCCAAGAGCACCAAATTTACTCCCGTATTTAGGTAGAAAAGGACAAACTTGAATTTATCATCGTTGAAATCAATGTGATCACTGCAGTAATTGAGCATTCATAACACCTTCTGTTCCACTGAGCTAATCTCCCATCCCAGTCACCCAAATGACTATTAAAAATGTTTCTATCTCTATGAGAATTGCTTCCTTTTTCGTACACGAGTGCTCCTTCCAGCTTCCTGCTTTCCCCCGAGCGCACTGCAACACTGGCGTGTGGCCATGTGGTCCTCTGCTTTCTTGATTTGTTTTATCTCTCAATATCCTGCAAACTTGATAACAACTGGCACTTAAGTTCCGAAAATCACCACAGAATCTTGGGGCTGCTGTTATATTTGATCCGCCACATCTTAAAGTTGGGGACTCTTCAGTGGAGGCGTTATAGAATTGATTGATTAACTAGGATAAACAGATGGTTAACCGTGACTATCAGGCTTCATGATCCAGTGTTATCGGATGGAGGCAGTTTTACTGACTGACGTGAAGATCAGCTTCATAGGACCGTTCGCCCCATAGAACGCTCTTTGCCTGGCCTTGAATCTAATGGAGACGACCCAGGGGTGGTTGATATAATAATTGGCTACAAAGTATGAAATTCCTTTTCACTTAACTCAGCCACGTTGGTAACTGCCGTCTCCCCAGGTAGGGACCGCGGGTTGAGACAACCGAGTGGTTGATAACCCTGGAGGATGTGGCCGTGTCACGCAGCCAATGACGCTTTTGTATCGGGGCTGTCGCCTTCATAGCTCTCACACTCTACCATGCTGGACAAACAGATCCATTTGACGGATGGATTGGGTTGTCGCCTCCAATGCGTTGCTTTCACTTGCTTATTCTCCTTATCTCCAGTACCATTCAGCTGTAACACCCTAACTGCCATACCGGTTGAGGGAAGCACGAGGGCTGGGATACTGCCAAGTTGCCTAAGTCTAGAGGTCGGGTTCGAACCACGCACCTTCCGATCAGTTAATTTCGCACTCTAACCAGTGAGCCATCTCGCCCCAGTAGACTAAGCTGTAGCAACTGGAACCACTGCGTTTCAGTGCATGGCTTGTGAGACAAAGAACTGATCTGAGTTGAACTGGACCAGTTTCCCCATGAGGGGTGGATTATCAGCCATGAGCATGTTTCTGACGTTATAGTTTTTCTTTTCTACAGATGCAGTGCTACTCTTTGTGCCCTTTTTGTTGTGAATAGGGTGGTCCTTTTCTAGTTCAGGAGGTTTGCTACGACGAATCATCTAACAAAAAGTGAGACTTTCTCCCAACTTACTTTTTTCTGCGGACTTTCATGAGGGGTGGATTATCAGCCATGAGCATGTTTCTGACATGTTATAATTTTTCTTTTCTACATATGCAGTGCTACTCTTTGTGCCCTTTTCGTTGTGAATAGAGTGGTTCTTTTCTAGTTCAGGAGGTTTGCTGCGACGAATCATCTAACAAAAAGCGAGACTTTCTCCCAACTTACTTTCTTCTGCGGACTTCTACCATAGGGGGAATACCATTCTTTGTGGGAGTTAACGCGAATTGAGTACAACCAACTTGGCCACTTTTACATCCGCTTAGTGATTCGGCGTGATCATCCAGATCTGTTTTCCGTGTGAGTACAGTCGTGGTAGATTGTACAGTTTTTTTGCCTTCAACTTAGTTTAGGCGTCATGAACCACTTATGGGGTTGCTGAAAACTCTTCGACTGCTCACAGCTGGTTACGCCCTTCTTCGGGATAATCTTATGGGTCCGAGTCCCCGTTGAAACCTTAATGGTTTGCGACTGAGCGTGTTTCTCCAGTGGTCAAGTTGTTGTACAGAAATTCGTGCAGCCTGCTGTGGTCCTGTTTTTTTTAGAGGATTTGTATCGGTCTATGCAGCTTGAATGTGGGGCTAGTAACATGTCTGAGTTACAGCAAAGATGCCAAGCTGAACGACTTTTAGAAGCTTAAACGTGAACATTGCTGTGTCGACCTAGAGTCATCCAATGTGTGCGATCCAGAACACCATATCCGAATTAGATGCACTTTGTACGGCATGAAGCCGTGATATTAACGGTGGACTGGCTGAGGATAATAATCGCAGGATAAACAATTGATATTTTACTCCAAATGCATCTTTTATTTTCGACACTACCGCGCGCAGGCTTAGCGGTGGCTGTTTGTTGTATGTGAGATGGACATAGCGCTCACATAGTCGCGAACATAGCTACCACACAATGCCTTTGCCAACGCACCAAACCCATGATTATCTTTGAGACCCCACTTCTTATCCAACACCAAGTTATTATTAATGTGAAGTTCCCCCCAGTAATTTTGCGTGTTTCAACTGTTTTTTTCCCCACTGCTTTTCGTTTTGTTGGCTCTTCCCGTCCCATGTTCACCCTACACACAGACACACTCGGACTTAGCGGGCAATTACAATCACCTTGACCTAGAGAGGACATTTCGATCGAATGTTACATTCTGGTTCGATTAAACGATTGTCCTTATTTGTCGGGGATTTAGGCTACCACACCGTTTTCTCCGACTGATTACGTTTTATATCTGTGCAACTGTGCCATCTCGTTCGCGACTTGGTCATTGGAACTTGGCATATGCCCTTGCAAAGAATGTGCTTTCATGTACAGCCAAAGAGAAAAAACATGGAGGAAAGGCTTCAAATCGAGACATTTATTCCGAGACGGAATCTCATGAATGTCATAGCTACATGGACACCGGAAGAAGTTCGCATTCCCCATATTATCGTGGTGTATGCGTCTGTTTGTTTGTGTATGGGTGCATCTAGTCTGGTATTCGCCTATGCGTACGTTTTCGCAGACATAATTGGCGATCAATTGCCCCCTTATTGACTGCTGGTATCTCCCTTATCGTTTAGGAGCACTACAACAGCAGCTTGTCTCTAGTCTTTTGATACAAAAATGTCATTTCGTAGCTACGTTTTTTTTCCGCCCAACTTTCTATCGAGCGTTGGTTCGCTTCCTATTTGACACCGTGCACTGTGCAAGTTATCACAGTTTATCAGTTTACTTTAACAGTATACTACTATTTTCTGGTCTGATTTAATCACGAAATTGTTCTAATGGAGCTAGTCCAGTTCACCAGTAATTTACTTTTCATGTTTACGACCCACCAGATTCCCAGCTATTTCCGCATTCTACTGTGAAGGCATTCAAAATGCGATTTTAATTCACGCACCACGGATCTCATTTACCCTACTCGAACGGTATTTAGTGTGTAATATTAGCGTACTGCTTTCAGGGACGAATGCTAATCACTACTCAAATGAGCTGTGATCATCCATAATACCAGTTCGGTCGGTTGTATATTTACCTTGGTGGGTTCATCTGCTTGAGAAACATGACTTGACTGCAGTTGTGTTGGAAAAATTAGGCGATCTTCGTGCAATACTTGCGATTGAATGATGTCGTAAACAAGGACTGCAGATGAGTCCCACTAGACATCATTCGAATTTGCAAGCGAATGTTCGACTCTACATTTGTCCATTGTGGTGTTCAAGTATGCTCACCTCCTACCGCCTGTGGGCGAACCGATCAGTGTCAGCGTATCTATGACTAGCGAGCGCGCACTGATTAGATATTAAGCCTTCGGTAACTATCGTTTTGATCAAGCATTCCGGTTTTCTTGGTGGCGATCATTGTCGTAATTACTGTGTTGAGGATTACCGTATAATCAAAACGTTCAATTTTGTCATATATACAGGTCTCGGAGAATGCGCACCTGTGGGTAGTCTTGGGATTCGGAAACATTTGGTGTTCGTTTGACGTAGACATTGAACGAATGGTTTCATCGAGTTCAAAAACGCTTCTTTCCGATTTTTGTCTGTCCTGTCCGTCCGTCCTCTCTCGTGTTTTCTCAAAACCTCTACCCAGTTCTCCAAGGTTGTTTGACCCAACCGAATTCCACTTGCGACAGTGGGCCTTTTATCCATTGATTGATTCGCTAATCGATTACCTTGTTCCACTCTCCTCCCAATCAGGAACACATATCATGGAAGGATCCGGGAAAATGGTTGTGACTGCTGTCGGTCCAAATTCCCAGGTCGGAATCATTTTCGGTCTTCTCAGTAATCCTCAGGGTGATGATGCTCATGGCGGCAAAGCTGACAAAAAAGGTGAGTTTTTAGTGTTTGTGTGCGCTTTCACTGCAACAAGAGGTGGATCCACAGAGAGAGAGAGAGGTTATCTTTCTGGGTCGCTATTCATCGACCATCAGACCGGATGTACATTCTTTACGGTCTTAGCATTTTGTTCAGCCGGAGCAGGCGTGCAAGCTCCGGGTAGGATCGGTAATTTCCTAGCACATGGGCTGTAAGATTTGCTTTTCTTTAAACAAGATGAACTGACCATCGCATATCAACCTGACACTACCGTGCAGCCGTATGTGTAATGGAGTAAAGTTGAATGTCACCGGATGCATCCCTAGTTTATGATAGGGGAACGGTCTTCGTCTTTTACGCTCGTATTCCGTTCATTGGCGAATAAGCAGTCATGTAGCGACTGTGTGGCGACTCTACTGTGACCTGCTGCGTGGCGGGATTGGTCATCTACTTCCTTAAAATTAAAGAGGCAGGGGAAAACCCTCAATGGACAACGCTAATAATCATATTTGGGTGGAAATAACTTTATTTTCGGCGGGGGGTGGGTGGCTATCAACAAGAAACAAAGTGCCGATGGAAGTCATACAAGGGCTCATTGAGTAAAGTATACGAAATGGGTGTGTGCCGTTGATCGACTAGAAAAATGGAATATTGGCCCCGTTGACAAAAAATTTGCAACTTTTGTTTGAAACAGGCCCTTATCACTACACCTTTGGGAGATTTCACTCTTTCAGGCAGAATAATGCTTATTGCAGATAAGCAATAAAAGTTGATTGAATATGGCACGAATTTTCCCCTTGAGGGCAACAGGAACATCATTTCGACGAAGAGCTCCCGTTAAATTCCTATTAGTTAAACAGTTTAGAATAAGTGTAGCGGCTTAGTGAAACTTGTAGGAAACGTAACGAGGTGAAATTCCTGCGGGAGACCAATGTCCCACTGGCTCTAGTTTAGGTGGAAGGAGCTAAACCCGCAGTTTCCTACCTTTTCAAGATGTGGTTGATCATTTTCACGGAGATTTAATTTGCTCGACTGTGTGGCTGCTCTCACCAACCAACAAGTCTTTTGATTTGAAGAGACCCGTACTAATACTTAATAAGAACTATGACTACTCATCGAATAGTAGAAAAAATCATGACTCGACTTTGCACCTTTCCATATTTCACCTCCGTATGTCTTATGCGGACTGATTCTGGCGTAATCCTTTGCATTAGTGTATTTTCAAACCATACGTGCTTTGTATACATGACCGGTCACCTTATTGTCGGTTTGTTTCGAAATTCACTGAACGGTTAGCCACAGGCAGTCACCAACAAAACATCTTTTTATGCGATTGCGATCGCTTTCTCCGCAAGAGACGATGGGAATGGTTTGAGGATCCGTTTGGCTCGTTGCTGGATCGACCAGCTTGGCATTCACCAACTTGCATGATCTGAGAGTGTACCAGGCCTCCTAGACGGTCTCTTGTTATCTGAAGGGCGCGTGAACTACTTCCGTGAGTTGGATTGTGAACCCCGTGTTTCGCCGCACTACCTTGCGGCCTAGGGTCTTCAACCCGAGATCCCCTAAACTAACGTACCTCATCGTGGATAACCGTGTCATGCTCACAATGATATGACAACGGATTGAAAAGTCATCAATCTTGCCACATATATGGACCACTATTCAGCGAACGGCACCCATTCCTGTCTGTTATTTTGCCTACATTCTAACTGAAACCAGCTCTACAACTCCCGTTACACAGATAGTAGCCGACAGACGAGATGAATGCGCCTTTTCTATCACTCTCGCCACGTTTTCTAATCGGACTTCCCCAGTTAGCTTTCGACAGCCTGGACATATACCACTTGGCCTTAACTTGTAACTCTGGAAGGACTAGATGTTGATATATTTTGCCTGTCGGACACTCATTTGTATGACTCCAGTCAATTTCTTCTTATTCTTCGAACCACCACTTGATTATTTATCTACGCTACTACGTTGGCCTTGAAGTCTTAACTGTGAGTGATGCAGGCGTGGACTGAAGTTGCTATTCTGGAGTAGATTCTGGTCAACAGTAGACTGTGCATGGTCAGTATATCGAATTCTGCTGAGCTTAACACCTTTCGGGACAACACGGACTATATTTTCATGATATCGGCCTACTCAGTGACCGACTGCACTACTAATTTGATCAAAGATGATTGTTACAATGAGTTGGGTGGCGTTCCTTAATAGGGCTTCCGGCACCGAAACTGTTGTACTTGCTAGATACCTGGACTCTCAATTCGGCCGTCTAGTGACAAATGAAAGGTGTCTTGGTGACCACGACGTGACTCGTTTGTTCTCTTTGCGGACAGATCACCATCTGTTTCTGGCCAGTTGAAACTTTTGGCATAGTAAGCACCCTCACGCAACTTATCGCTCACCGAACAGGCGGACAAAGACTGCTACCAGCGGATAATCTCCGCATGGGACTGTCATTCCGACCGGAGCATCTTTTTAGAGTCTGGTAACTTACTGGTGTGTTCCAGGCTGAGTATACAATTCTTTTAGAAGAACGATAATCAAACTGGCAAGGACTGATATTACCAGTTCAGCGTAGGCAACTACCGTAACGTCGTTTCAGATCAAGCTAGCTGTGGACACCGGAAAAACGGCGAAATTCACTACCAGAATACGATTGAACGCGGTCGCTTCTGAAGGCAATGTCTAACGATAAACTGGCGTTATCGCATGCGAAACGTCATATGTCATACACCGTTCGGACCACTTAAAACCTAGTAGTAAATAACTGGTTATGCCAATTTTCTTTGAAGGTTGCTACTATCCGAAATATCATGCCAAGTATTTTCCAGTTTAGGGTTCCTCGCCACGAAATTGTCAAAAAGCGCCGTTTCTACGTGCGCTTGATAGAGCAATATGCGGGAAATCTAACAAGCCACCCCCGGTTCCAGCTGACAACCTGGTTTTTAGTGAATTAGCCTGATCCGAGACTCAAAAGGTGAAATGAGTGCGTGGTGGATACTGCGGGCTACGTTTATCTACAAACCCTTGTGGCCATCTCACTTACGAGAATGCCACAAACGAATGCCCCTGTTTTTGAAAGGCACCTAGTAGCGTAGTCACCATGCAAGTAGTACTTGTATTCTGAATGTTGTCTTACCATTCAGTGTTTTCTTTGATAAGTTAGATTTCTCCACACTTGGCATGATTTAACATCGTTCAACAATCATCTGATGTCATGCCACAGGTCGCGCGCAGCCTACCACATTTTTTCGCCTAGTCAAACTGCGATGACTGGGGCCCATTTCATACTGCTATATTCGTGTGTGTTGTGCGACAATGTGAGAATGGGGCTGTTTGCACCAGAGCAACCTCCAAAGGCGTCGTTACTTTGAGAGTGCAAGCTGTCGCCACTAGACTGAATGCTGCTGATTGGCGAATCTGATGGTGCCACGTAAATCCGATTACCGACTGGCCGTGACATATCGGCACAATCATTCCATCGACGAATTCCACTCGTTTTACTCTTCTTGGTATTTTTCACCATAAAGGCCATGCAAATCGATCAGTAGCTTGTCAAATTTTCGTAGAAACTAGAAATCTGGACCAAAATTATCAGCAGTTCATCACCGTCAGTCATCCGTGGCTCATGTGGAATAGACGAGGATTTGGAAGGATCATGAAATTCTCCGTCCAACCATGCTGAGATTTGATGCATTCCATATACTTTTAAGCTAGTTACTGAAGTGGTTTGAGTTCGAAGTAGAGCGCAGTCGGTCGTATTAACACTAGCAGTTTTCGCTTCAGGTAGCGGGAAATTTTCCAGGCATGTTGCAAGCATTTCAGAATGAACTGTTAGGGTATTTTGGGTCTCACTTGTATGGTTCCAAAAACACCCGTACTGAAATGTGGTCTGCGATCGTTGTCCTCATGTTAAACTGATAGATTGAATCGAATTGAACGTTAAACTACCAACGTCCCAGATATGCTATCGATGATGATCCTGCCGGACTATCTAGTTGGAATGTTAAAAATGACAGATGCCTGTAGCTAGACAATGGCGATAGTGGCACAGAGTTGGACTCATTGACATCCTTGTCGCTCATTTTGGGAGCCACAATTATTGCACACTGCTTTTCTATCCAAACTTGATGTACATTTCCCCCGGTGACTTCTTACTAAATAATGGCATAGCTCTCTCGGTCTCTCCCGACTGTCAACTATGGTGGCTCCTTCCGTCTTCGATTCATTGATTGAGAGCTGCATGCAGTATCAGTCTACTGAACACTCAGTGCCAGCATTCTATCGTTCCCATTCGGTATTTGTGCTGTAGACAGCTTTCCGTTCGGGGATATGTTTGACTCTCACATTTGACAATGGTGACGGTCTGAAAGATGTTACTCGGATCTCATCCAAAAGACCCTCACCATTTTGGATCGTGGGTTACTGTGAAACGGTTAGACGGGCATTTTTTGCTAACTGTTTGTCTTTGGCGATGGCTTGGCTCAAACTCTACAACGACGTTCTACCAGACTATCGGTTGGCATAAGTTTCAACCTTGTCTCCAATAATTGAATTTGATTGATGTTCCAAAACTGTTTGGGTTCGAAGGCACTTGCGCCAGCAGACTTCATGTGTATTGATACGTCATCGTATCTAAAGGTAAACATTCGTTGCTGCGTTGTTATTTGGTACCTATCTACTTCACTACTGCGTGCTCCCCCGATTTTCCGAGAACGTATCAAATACTTTCTAGCAACGAGAGAGTAACTTTCACATCGGTGGACAACGCTCAACTTCTATTTCGGCGTGGAGGGAGTCTGAAAAATCACACAAGTGCAACGCATTTTACACAATTATTCTCTAAGTGTGACCAGCGAACCTCGGGTAGATACGTCACATCACTTCCTAAGTACGGGAAACCCTGTATTCCAGTTGATTGTATTCTTGTCAGGGCAGTTCAAAGCAAATTACTAGGAGTGATTCTCATGAGTGAAAGAGAAGGGCTTCTTATTTCCAATAGATTTCAC